GGAAAAATAAGACTGTAATATACCTTCCTAGCTATCATTCTTGACCATCATATCTTTATGTCCACAGACCATACGCCTCCATTCCGAGCCTTAGGGACTCACAGAGTTCATATAAGTGTATATTCTATGAGTAGGGAGAAGAATGGTCTCTTAGAAATGGCTAGAGAAGCATGACATGACACAAGGGTTGAACCAGCTTTGTATTACTTAGCCAACTTTCAAAAGCTCCCTGTAAGATCAGAAGCCATAGGCTAGTCCCCAGCACACTTTTGGGCTCACACTGACTGCCACTGGTTCCTCCTAAAAGTTTTCTTTTCTTTGCCACTGTTCTACTCTAGTGTCATGGCAAATTCTGAGATCTCCGCTGGAGTACTTTATCAAAAGTCTTTTGAAGTCAGTGTGTATCATCGTCCTTGCATTTAGCACTTAGGAGATGCCTATTTCCAAAACAGTACGTCTTTATCTCTTAGTGAGTTCATCAGGCCAGTTGCAGGTGGTATTTTAAAAGTCCTCATTGTTTAATAGTGATGAGGCATAGCACTGTTCTTTCTTGAAACCCTCAAGAAAGAGTTATTGGTTCCACCTTAATTTCCTAATTTGATTTGGCAAATTGGAGCGTACAAGTCTGCTGGACATGTACAGAGTGGTTTTTGTCTATGTGGATCAAGAATGACTTCTGGAACGAGATCTGGAATCTAGGAAGACATGCTGGGACATCTTAAGCATGGCTCCTGTCTAAGCAGAGTCCAGTCTCATCACAGTCCAGGCACAGCAGGTGGAGCACTGGATTCAACGTCAGTCTAATGCACCAGCCTGGGCACAGCTTCCTCTTCAGTAAACACAGACAGCAGTCTTTAATACCCCTTGCTAGCCTAGAATTCTGTTGTCAGTACACCCACTCTTCTAACAAAGAAGGCATAGTTTGGTTCCTCCCTTCCCAACTCAGCCTAATGTTTATAAGTCTAAGAACCCAAGGAGATCTTTTTTAAATGAATGAGAAGCTGAGCATCGCAGTACATAGACACCCCTTCTCAAAACAAAACAAAGACAAACATCTCCCAAATAAATTTTATTTTTTCTTGATTTAAAAGAAAAAAAAGAAGCAAGTGCTCATTGCTCTGATAAACATGCCCAAAACGCTTATTTTGCTAGGAAAAATAACAGAACACCTTTGCTTCTCCCAACTCCTGTTTTACTGATGATGTCAAATGGTTTAACTGTGAAGGAAGACCAGTGTTCTGGGTCCTAAGCTGGGAGTCAGCCACATTAGATGTTCAGAAATTAATGAGCAAACTAAACAATGCCAAGCACAAAGGAACCCTACAAAGCCTATTGTCTTTTAAACGTCACTTGGAGTAGATAAGTGTGTCACACAACATGCGTTTTGCATATGCAAGGTCATAAAAGTTTCATTGAATGAGAAGTTGACATGTGTCTAAGAGAAACAAATGAGGCTATCCATGGCATTTCCTGAGTGCCTGTTGGGTGCTTTGCCTCCAATAACTATGGATTAAGTGGTTTCCCACCCAATGTAAGGAGGCTGAAGGTCAGAGAGCTGACTGCCTGAGGTCATGAACTACAATAAAGTAAGAAACCAGCCTAGATTCCAGTGCCAGTTTGGTGGTATGCAAACCACACCAAGAGATAGTAATGCAGCAGCTACCTTGCCACCATGCCAGTCCCAAAAGTGTCAGTTCTTGAAGTATCATTCATGGGAATGTCTTTCAGCTAGGGACAATGCCATAATGGCACTAAGTACTCCAAGGTACCAAGAATGGCCCATACAGACTTGTCCTGGGGTATGATTTTTAGCTTTTAGGTTGCATTCCCTATCATCCCATCTTCTATTTTCATTCTGTCTTTTTCCTCATGTGAATACATCTGTGATCACAAATCCTTAAATGATGCATCATTTGGAGAGAGGAGGCCTGGCTGTCTGTGCAAACTCTGGGGATTTATTGAAGACTATAGTATCCGTAAAAGCTATTAAAGCAAACCAGCTTTTTAGAGTCCTCACTTGGCAGGAAGAGCCATGATCAGCAAAGCCCATAGACATCAGCTGGGAGGGGCCAGTCACTCTAGAGGCGCCCAGAGAGGTATACAAAGGACCACACTGTGGGCTATGCTGTGGCTCAGACTGGGCTGGGAGTACGGAGCATTTCCAAGGTGACTGCTGTAGTAGAGTGGGCTGTGGCCCGGTGACTAACTCTGGGAAAGCTTTGTCAGAGAGATTTGGAGGTAGGTCACTTCTGTCCAAAGGGAGGAGTGGAAGCACCCTTTTGCCAAAATTAAGGAATGTACTACATGTTTTAGAGGCGGCCCATGCTTCTTCCAATGGCCAGAATTTAACCAAATCACACTTCCTGGCTGGATTCACACCACCACTTCGCACTCAGTGTCGAAGACAGGGAGGCTTCCTGATGGTGCCGAGGAATGGGGGCTTCTTTCTGGCCTTGGCTGTAAACATGAGTAGAAGATTTGCTCACTTATACAGGTCACTAGGAGGAAGCCAATGGATCATCCTACCAGCCACAGTTCAGAGATGGGACATGGTGCTCTCCGCATCCTACACAGGTCTAGCTAACCCTGGAACCAAAGCACCTCTTATGCTAAACTAGCCTCCTTTAAATTCAGCCCCAAGGCTCACCATCAAACGGGGCTGGGTGGCTTTCTTGGATTCGGACCCCAGGGGGCTTTCGTGAAGAAGGCCAAAGACCAACAGGCGGGGAGTGTGGCTTCTGCAAGCTTCAGGCCTGCTGCTGTCTGTGCCCACTGTCAACTTTTTGTCCTTCCTCTTGGTCACAGAGAGGGTGACTCTCCAGTGGCTCACGAACCTCCTAACATACCCCCATAAATGAGATGCTGCAAGTCTCAAAAGGCAAGTCTTCCACAGGCCCCCTTGACTTTCCTCGTGTCCCACCCAGGGGCCTGGTCACTTCTTTTATCCAGCTTCCTCTTTTCCAGTCTTGCCCCAAGGTGAAGTTCCAGTGCACGAAACCATGAGAAGCACTGTTGCCTTGGCAATGGCCATCCATTTAACAAATAGAGGCCTCTGGGCCCCTACTCCCAACCTCCCTGCTGCTTCTGTTGTTCTCTTTCTGTCCAGTAGGTGGTGCCACCTTCTCTCCCAACAGCCTGTAACAGTGACTGAAGCGCAAGGCAATGTGGCCCTGAGGACCAGGCGAAAGCGCTGTGTTTCCTAAGCATTATGGGAAAAGCTCAGTGATGCGGGTACTCCCTCAGGGTCTTCCACCCTTCAGCCCAGTTTCCTAGTTATTTTCTCATTGAAATTGTTATCAGTTTTGAAGAAGTAGGCACCTTGTGCTGGCGAATTGTGCAAAACACCACCCTTCTGTCGTTCCTAGCCCTGGAAGGGGTGACGGCCGCAGCGCCCTGTCTCTGTTAAGACCGCCATCTGTTTTTCTGAGTTGATTTCGATTGGTGCATTCTCACTTTCAGGGACCTCTGATTCTATAACAAAATCAGCTACTTATTCTAGTTACTGTAAGCAGACACATAACTTTACTGTAATTTGAAAACCCTTGCACTGTAATGGTATTTAAAAAAAAAAGCGAATCCTATTGAAACTGATTTTGTATTTTTGATTATATCTAGATTTTCACATTTTTGTATCTAACCATAACCACGGCAGAGCTTCCATAGCTTGTGTTCAAGGCCTTGTTTTCTTTCCAGGTTGAAGTCTTAAGATTGTGTTGACACCAAAAGTTTAAGGGGGCAGGACTGGGGCCTGGCTGGTGGCACACTATCCCTGCTCTGGTGCCAGGGAGACCTCGTCTAGAGGAGCAAGCCACATCGCATTCCATTGCGTGAGTTTCCCACAGCAGCTCGCATCTCCAACAAATCCAAGGCCAGCAGTTTAGGCCCAACCTTTGCCAGGGACTCTTCTCGACTGAGCGGCCCCCCGCCCCCTGCAACACTCGGCTTCCTGGGCAAGGGAGGACATTTTTAAAAATATGAAACTTTTGGAATTGATTTGTGATTATTTTTTTCCTTCCTGCTGGAAACGTGCTGGGCAAACAAGACAGCATGATGTTATCGCCACCCCCTGCTTTTCCAAACCGATACACCTGTTGTGCTCTTTCTTTTCTTAGTGAAGAACATTCTAGACACAGACCTAAATACGAACTCTTTGCCTCCTGTATTTCGGGTTAGCAATTCTCCCTGTGTATTCCTAACTGTTGACGCGTTTGCCTTCTTAGCATTGCTTCTCATTTTACTTTATTTTTTTTTTACTGAACAGCAACAAAACCACAAAGGAACAAATTATCTCTTTTCCTCTCTCTCTCTCTCTCTCTCTCTCTCTCTCTCTCTCTCTCTCTCTCTCTCTAATGTGTAATGTTGTGTTGTCCAGATTCTGTATAAAAATATGTATATGATGTATCTGATATCTGGCAGCCACTGGCTGTTACTTTAACCAATATAATTAACAAAAATGCATAATGTTGGTGTTTGATTTTTTTTTTACAAAAAAAAACAACAACCTAGTTAAGATGTTGTGTATTTTTGCATGGTTAAAATGTACTTAGTGCATTAAGAAGTGTCGTGGAGGTGCACAGTGAACAGGCCAGTTTATTTTTAATCCTAACGGTGACTGGTTACCAACCAGACTTAGTCCCAATGATGTCTGTCTGCTTTCCTTTAGCATAATTCTATTTATAACTTGTGTTTAGTATTCAAGGTTCAACATAGCATATCTATCTATCTCTATTGTATTTACTGTTCCTTAAAACCAGGTTGTGGAAGTTCACCCATCGGGCACAGGTGTCTCCATTGCTGATTTCTGTTGGATTACACCCCACTGAACAGCTGTACAGTCCAGCTCTAAAGCACCAGGCCCCGGAGGAGACTAGGGCGGGCATTTCTCCTTCCAGAGATCTCTCTCTCTCTGAGCAGTACTGTGGTTTTTTCTTGTCATGGAACAATCTTTTTTCGGTCCTAGTTATATAAATGAGAAGAAAGGACAAGAAGGTAAGCAGGAGTCTAAGAATTATTTATATTTTATACACAAGAGTACATATATTGTAGATAGACAGGCAATAAATGTTGAGTTGGGTGGACAGGCAATGGGAGATGTTGAGGGTTCAGAAAGATGTTGCAGGATTCAGAAAGAGAGATGCCCAGCTTTCCAGACTGTAGTGGCACCACATGAAAGACTGTAGAAAAACTGGTGACCTTGTTATGCCTCTGTTTCTTCGTATATGACACATCAGGAGGGTGACGACAGAAAGGGAGACAGTTGCCTTTTCCTGGGTCTTCAGTGCACTTAAAGCAAAGATGGGTCCTAGGCTACCTGCGAGACTGAATTGCTGTTTGGAGATAGACTATGAGACACCCCCACCCCATCTCAGGACACCTGGACTTGCTCAGGGGGAAGACATGTTTTAAACAGGATATTGACAGGATGGTTCCCACATGGATTAGAGGGAGGAGAATAGCTAGGCATTATCTCTTGTCAAGGGAATTGAGTCCTTGTCCTGAAGTCCTATCTTCTCTTTGCCAAGTCTGCATCTGTGGCTGGTTTATTCCCTGGTACGCTAGCCTAGCAGTTTGTTATCCTATCTTTCCCCACCCCAGACTCTGACAGACAGCCCCTCCCCTTGCTGGGATCCAACATGTACAGTTGGTATTAGCACCTTTGTGGTGTTTAGCCCAGGATCTGTGTTTCTCAGACACTTATTTGTCTCGGGGCAGACCACTTCACCTCTCTGCAATCAAGCTTCTTCTTCTTTCCCAAGCTGAGGTCATAGGTTTCCAAGATCCTGGAGCTCATTGGTTTTGGAGATAACCATCTGTCCAATGGCCAGCTGAGTCAAAGGAAGTTCTTGGCTGTCTCTGCCTCCCCTCCTCAGAATTAAGAACTCAGAATACTCCACAGGCATCTTCTTCCTCATGGGCACGTACGTCCTCAGTGGCGTATATGTGTGTCACGTTGTTGTCAGCTGCAGGGGGCATTTTCCAGAATGCACTGAGTGCATTTTTTCCTTTTCCTCAAAGTCAAGGCTGTCTGCAGAGGAACCACACATCCGTTGCAGCATTGTTCCTCTCTTGCAGGCTCTCTGTGGCCAGGACTCAAGGGGAGCAGTACCAGTGTGCTGAGGATGTCGCTCTCTAGTCTCCGGGAGGCTATGGGGACAACAGTGAGTTGCTACTTGTCAGGAGCAAGCTCACTCTCTCTGGGTGCAAGGCTGTAGAATTCAGACCTTACTCTTGTCTGTTTCATCTGACAGCATCTCTGGGACTGCAGACCCTGAACACCAGAGAGGCCCCAAGAGCCCTGAGGACCCAGTGTCCTCCTTCCACAGATGAGGCAACCCATGCCTAGAGGAAAGAAATAACGAACAAAGGGAACTCTGCAGAACTGATGGAGCCACTTTGTTCATCTCTGACATAGAACCACAAGCTCAGAGTACCCCTTTAAATTTATGAAAGCTGTGTGGTATGTCCCCAACCACCATGCTTGACATCCCTAAATATCTTTCATGACCATGGTTGATGGGAATGCACAGTTCCCATTCCACTTTCCCAGGCCTGCGTGAGCCAAGTGAGGAAGGTTAGTGTGTGGGACAGGAAATGAGCAGATCTCCTCTTCACCTGTGTTTTTAAGAGGCACTGGATAGAAATAACAGTGGATTCTCTACCTTTGTCCTGCCCTTCCTACTCTCCTGCTGGGATGGGCTCTGAGTTTTCCTTAATATACACAGTAGTCCAACTGTCCATCTAACTCCCCATCCTTGAGCCCCCCCCCCATGACCTCCTCAAGGTTGTTTCCATCCCAGAGGCTTCCATTCATTCCAGAAAGAACATTCTAAAACTTTTTTTTTAAATAGTGTTTCTCAGGAAGCCATGGCCTCTGATCCAAACAAGTCTTCATGTTTACTTTAAATTCTCCCTGTTTATTCACTGCACATCTCTCTGTCAATTTTTATCTCCGCGGAGCCACCAGAAGCCATTAGGTATTTTCCTTGTGTGAAATGGCAGTTTCAAGGACTTTTATGGGTGTCATTTCCACAACAGTGACAATATCCTCAGGCCTTTCTTTCCTTTTTAAAGGAGCTTGGTGTACCATTCTTCTGTGGTTTTTTTTTTTTTTTTTTTGGTCTGGAGGACACTTGAGATTTATCCCTCAATCATGCAAAGATCTACTCTAGAACATGCTTTTGTTTGAATTTTTAGAACAGAGTCCACAGCCTGCTGCTGAGGCCCTTTGATTTTTCCTGAATCATCACTGATAAAGACCAAGAAGCCTCCAGGTCTTAAAAGGCTTTTTTTTTTCTTCTTCTTACATGGAAAAATGTTTTTGATTCCAGTTAGATTGAGGGATGTTTCTTAAAAGAGATCAAATTTCTGAGTTGGTGATTTTTTAAAGGACTTTATACCTTTAAAGAACTTCTATCTTAGCCTACTCCCAATGGGCTACTTCCTGTCCCCAACCAATCATCTGAAGAGAACCAGAAAGGATCCTGGACATCCTAGTGGTCTTCTCTGGAAAGAGATGTGCCCCAATCCCCTGCGAGGTGTGGGTCAGATGTTAAGGTTCAAGGTTCTTCCTTGACTTCTATGGCTCTAGAACACCCCCTTGTGGTTCTCTGGGAGAAAGGTGAATCTAAGATGGCCAGTAAGCCACATATCCAACCTTTTTCATCAAGAAAAGGAGCTGCCATCACTCCATATTAGGACCATACGCCCTAAAACTAATGTGCTTGATATTGGTAATAACAATTATCATTAGCTTCTCTTTACTTTAACAAAGCAGGTAACACAATCGAATTTGCAAGCATTCTTTCAGTCTCACTATCCTGGGCACAGACTCTTGCCTGTGCACCTTATGATGTGTTGTAAGCGTCTGTCATGCTTGTATAGAGAACCCTTCCAGTCTTTTCCTGAACCGTTAGAACAGCTCCTATCTTCCTGGTATTTTCTTTTTCTTTTTCTTTTCTATTTTTTTTTGATTTTTGAGACAGGGTTTCTCTGTGGTTTTGGAGCCTGTCCTGGAACTAGCTCTTGTAGACCAGGCTGGCCTCCAACTCACAGAGATCCGCCTGCCTCTGCCTCCCCGAGTGCTGGGATTAAAGGCGTGTGCCACCACCACCCGGCTCTTCCTGGAATTCTTAAACTCTTCCAAGAATAGGCAGGGCTGGTGAGTGCATTACTTAGTGAGCAGCTGAGGCCACACACCAGCCGCTGCTCACAGTAGAACTCCAGCCCAGGGCTGCTGCTCCCCTGAGCTATGTGGAAGCCAGGTCTCCCCAGAAGGATGCCTTGCAAGCCTTGCAAAGCAACAAGGTGCCTGCCATGAACACTATGCTCCCGAGGCTCATTGGCAGTTCTGAAGAATGTTGCCTGCCTTTCAACATGGTAAACGCAAAGCCAGAGAGTAGGCTTCAATTAAAGACTATAAAGGTGACTGCAGTCTCAGTGGCTGTAGAAATATGGCTGGATTCTAGCTCTACAGAGCCCATTCCCAGTGGCTTTGGGTATTCTGTCAGGGAAAGGAAGGTGTAAGCTAGGTCACTTCTTAAAGTATTTGTTTTGTACTATGTATCACGTACAGGATAAGTTTAATCAGGCACTAAAGTAGGACTCGACAAGGAAGTCATCCACCAGTCCTCTTTAGCACTGATCACTTTACTTGCCACCAATCTTGTTTTGTCCATATCCCTAGAGCATGCTTGTCATACGTTTTTGTCATTGGCTTATTGTTAGAATTCTTACGGTCCTGTTACCTACTCTTCTTAGGGCCTAAATAAGACAGCTTCCACCGGAGGAACTAGACAGGGATGTAGCTCCAGACAGCTGGCCATTAGAGTGTTTCCTCTTGCAAAGGTCTCATCCCCACCAAGGTCCCTTAGAAGGCTCCTGAATAATTTGAGTCTAGCATCTCTAAGTTGCTATACCTGCAGGTCCCAGGCATCTCAAAAAGAGCTTTTCTGGCCTGTTATCTCAGGCTGGAGGATGGAGGGGATTGATTCTATCTGCTTTACCCGGATCATACTTGGTTCTTCTGCAGGGATAGCTAGTTGTGCGCTTTGGCAGAAATGGTCCCAGATCCTCTTCTTCCACTCCGGAGTCTCAGCAGTCTTGTCAGAAGTCAGCCCCAAAGAACAAATAGCCGTTTGAGGTTACCTTCCCCATAGCATTGCAAGGTAACTGCTTTGTCCAGAGCATGGAGGAAGAGGGTAGTTCTGCTCTCCTTTATCATCTGCATGTCTCCTTCAGAATAGATTCAATTCACAAGAGCTTTTCTCTGCTCCCCAGAGGCCACGTGGGACCTCATAGTTCCATAGCCTTTATCACTATCCTGTCATCTGCTCAGGGGAAGGTGCCCTCTGGACCCCTGAGATTCTTGCCCTCTCTCCAGTTGAGTGTAGGTCTCACGGTGCATGCAAGCATCTGGCCTGGTTTTCCAGGTTGTGAGGTGTTCAAGGCCAATGAGATGGACCAGCAAGATGCGAGCCAGGGTCTTGGCCTAACTTCTGCATGAACCTTGGTGCTTCCACCTGCCACTCACCAGAATATGACCACAGGAAACAGTTCGGAGGGTAGAGACTGCTTAAGTTGCCCCAAGTCTTGGACGAGCCTTCTTCCCGTGGAGCCTCCCAAAGGGCAAGCCCTCTGCTATTGCGTACTGTAAATCTGTGCTCCAGGAGCTGAGGCTTGCTGGCTTGGGGAAAGTAACTGAGGAGAAAGGGCCCCCTTCTCACCTTTCGTTTACCTTTGATCTGGCTGAACTTAGCTGTCCTTAACTTCTAGTTTGCTAAAGTCCTTATTGCCTTAATGACCACCTACCAAACAGTCAGAACCAGGCGAGAAGTCCCTCCCATGGTATACCTTGGAAGCCTGCTTGTCTCCCCGACGCTGCTGTGCCTGAAAGGCAACCACACTCCCTCTCCAAAGCCCAGGACCTCCCCCCCCCCTCACTAACAGAGCAGTGTTCCCAGGCTGAGGACAAACCCAGGACTGCTCAGGCTGAGAGATCCCCAATGCCCATGGTAGCTACAAACCAACCCTACTCCGTCCTTTGGCCTCCACTGCTTGAGAACTGGACTCCTCCCTGCCCTCCGCCTCCACCTCTCGCCCAGAGACCCTTCACCCCATCATGCTCAGTGCTGTTCCTGAAGACCATCTAGACTTTTCTGTTCTCTGGAACATTCTACTCACCTTCAGCTGCAACATCCCCCTTCAGCCTCTCCACCAAGCTCTTTAAGTGAAAGGCAGCGGCTGTCTTCCCTTGGACAATAATGAATGTATCTACTGTAAGTGCAGACCATGTAGAGAAGTGGCTGGGTTCAGAAAAAAAAAAGAGGATTTTTGTAAAGCCTGTTTATTTTTTTAAGTCAGTTTTGAGCATTTCTATTTTATCACCCTTCACGTGGTTTTGGGGAACCCAAATTGTATCAAGGTCTCATGCCAAAACAAGCCAACAGTTGTTTTCTTTACCTTTTTCCTCCGTGCACCATGATTTCAGAGATTGTTTTGGTGTCATTTTAAATGTTTTCTTGTGACATGTACTGATGATAAAAGTCATCTTGACAAAAAAAAAGATTTATACATGAATCAGAAAGTATTTATTTCAATTTTGTACCTTTCCATTTTAATACATTATAATGTATTGACTCAACTGAGATAATATAAACAGTTCATTTTAATAACACGTGTGTGTGTGTTTTCCTTTATATATAGTTGGGGTGGGATAAACACTCCTGGAGTGGAAATAGTGTTAACTGACCTCAGTGTGAGCAGAGGGAGACCTCCCCTGCACCAGAGGCTTCTAGACTGGAAGTTGGAAGCAGCTGGTGCCTTTGGGGGAGGAAAAGATGGTGACGCAAGGAAAGGAAGTGTGGAGGTAAGTGGTGGCCTGCTGGACAATGCTGACCCCTACAGTGCTATACGTTACATTGGTCTCCCCACTAGCAAGGCAGGCCAAGACCACAATGGCCCTCGCACCCTGGCCCCTGGATGTGGTCTTGGATGGAAGACTTCAAGAGGGGCTGTGCAGAGGAGAAACACAAAAAGGGATATAATCATATTCCATGTCTGAGTCTTTGGCTGGAAGGTGGGCAAAGGTGGGTAGAGCAAGCAATGAGACAAGGCAGCAGGGAAGAGGGGAGATTGTAGAACTGCATCCAAGGGCTGCAATAGTTCGTAAGGCATGTGCAGCAAACAGGAGGTGGCACCAGGAATTATGGACATAATTCTCTACTTTCAAGGGAGATAGAGAGAGGGTCAAAAAGAGTACTTTGACCAGATGGATCCAGGATGCTGAGAGATACACGAGTCTCAACAGTTGGTCCACGTCCTTGATACCTTGTTTTCCCAGGTCTCCACAACTTTCTACAAAATAACCTTTATTTTTATTATTTTTAATTATGTGTATGTTTGGGTAGGTGAACTTGAGTACAGGTGCTTACAGGAGTCAGGAAAGGGCTTTGGAACTGGAGAAACAGGCAATTGTGAGCTGCTTTATATTAGTCCTGGGAATTGAACATGGGTCCTCTACAGGAGCAAGAGTTGTTCTTAACTACTGAGCCAGCTCCAGCCCTATCCCTTTATCTTTCTATGTTCCCCTTTCCACACACCTCATCGGTCTTTTCCAGGAGAAACACCGGAAGAGGAAGCCTGCCTTTGCTTTTAAATCTCCCACCCACCTTCAGTCTTTTCTTCTAAGAACATATGACCCTGGTCCAGGAGCTGATGACCAGATTGTTTCAAGGTCCAAGTCAGCATTTTAGAAATGAATCAGTTGCCAATAACATAAAATAATATCAGTCCTTTGAAAGAGCCAATTTGAAGACATGTGTGCCAGGAAAATGATAAGAATTCCCTCTGATACACTCATCCCTAAATGGCTTTCCTAAAAGTCTTCTGAACGATGGCAACTTTTGGCTTACAGAGTTTTCAGCTGTTTAAAGAGGGGCTAGGTTACATAGGAAGCTTGTACTGGTGTTCTTAAACTAAAATTCCTCCTATAAGTGTGAATGTATTCACCTTCCTAAATATTTGCATCCCAGGAATGATAAGAGACCCTTTCCTGCGTCGTTGCTCTTTGGAAATAAGGGTCTGGAATGTAAGATTATTACTCTGTGCCAGTGTGTAATTTTGCCTGTCTTAGTCCATTTGAGCTGCTGTAACAAAACACTGAAACTGGCTCAGAGATAACAGAAATGCATCCTTCAATGTTCTGGAGGCCGAGTTCAGGGTCCAGTGGTTACCAAATCTGGCTTTTGTGAGGGCTGCTTCCTGATTTCCAGATGCTGTCATGTTGCTGCTTTCTCAGAGTCTGTGAGAGAGGAGGAAACCTGGATTCTCTCTCCTAAAGGCACCGGTCCTGTCCCAAGGCTCCCTCTTTGTGATCATATTAACCCCCAGAGACCCCCACCTACTCACGCCATCTCCTTGGGGATGAAGGTTTCAGCATATGTGTTAATCTCATGATAGCACACGTCTGCTCCTCTCTTTGACGCATAAGAGAAAAATAAGCTTCCTTGTCCCTGGCAGTTGGGGCTGTGGGAGGGTCTGCTGCCAGCAATCCCTGCAGTTACCTGGGTGACCTGTTGTCTTCTGCCATCCCATCCCGAGCAGGTTTCAGAGCTTTATCTGCCCCTGGCCATTTGATGTAATGACAAGGCAAGTATAAGCATACTTTCTGATGGCAAAAAGGGGAGAAACTGAGCCGTTCCTTTTCTCCTGCCCTCCTCCCTTCATCCATCTTTCTTTTTCTGTTTTTGAAGTGTGCCACCTTTACTTTTTACCTCTGGGGTTTGAAAAATCACCTGGATTCAGGCGTTCCACCCAGCAAGGTCTTTCTTCCTGGGAACAGCACACTAAGGCTGGTTATAGGAAAGGATTTAGCAATCCCTTGCTCGGTCAAGTTCAGGCTATGTACGGATGAGCTCCGATCCCCATCAACCGACATTAATAATGAAGGAGGAATGACTGTGTGAGGCACAGATGAAGCATGTCAACATCCTCTCTTCCCGGAGAGTCAATCAGGATAGCAGAGGCCAGGCCTTTCACTCTTACAGCTATGGAACATGTTTACATAATGCACGCCAGATAATCTCAGGTCTTTTCTGCTTGCCCCTTATTTCCACGATGATTAATTTATTGGTTTACTTTTTTTTTTAATCACCAAGACTAGTTTTTGCTCTGGGCAAAATCATGATAGAAGCAAGTTCCCCACAGTGTCCGAATCAACTTGCTTAAGACTCCAGGCTTGCACTGATTACAAGCTTTATTTTCTATCCTCTCCAAACTTGTCCATCAGGTTCTTCATAATCAGGGGTAAGCGGACAATAGAAGTTTATGGTGCCCCCCAAAGATGTTTTCAAACAAAGAACAAAGGTTTCCAAAGGTAGCAGATGCTGTGATCCAAGACCACTCACTGGGAATGTCACGCACTGGCCAAATCCTCCTTGTCCGTAGAGATCCTCCAGAGAAGAGTGAGAGGCCACACAACAAAGCCTGTCTCCTCACTGTGTGTGAGGAAATGGTCCTGTGTGCCCTCCTGTTTGGAAGCCCTCCATTTGTCGGGTCTTGGGTTTGGTGATCCTGATCGGAAACCCTGGCCCTGGGAAAGGAAGGATTTTGGACACGCCTGGGTGTTCTAAAGAGGTGGCTTGGTCAGACCCAGCCTCAGTCACACACCACATCAACTGCCTCTTCTTTCTTGTTTATAACCCACCGTCAAGCATATGGTCCTTCTTGGCTGAGTGTCATCCACCTCCTCATCTCACAGGTAAGCAGAAGTGGGCAAAGCCATGCCCAGTTCTCAGGTCCCTCGACTTCCAATTCTGAGCTCTTGCCCCACCCACCGCAGCTACTAAACAACACCACTTCATTTCCCCAGCCTACTGCGTCCTAGAAGGGCTGCACTCACTGCAATGGGGTCTACATGGGGCCTTGTTGGGTCTGATGAAAAGTGGACGTGACCTTCCCAAGAAGAGGAAATGAGAAAAAAAGGGCCCCTGGGAGGGACAGGGCCCTGGCCAGTGCTGAAGGCACGGCTACAACAAGTATGTGAGAAAAACTAAGGTCTAGATTGGAAGCTGAAGTCTTGACAAAGAAAGGGGCCCTGAAGGTCTCTCCCTATAGGGGAAAAACAGATAAACAGCATGGAGGGGTAGCTGAGGTCACACGTTTGGAGGAGAAAGGAACGCAAGGGGACGGGTACAGAATATGACAGGATGCATTCAGCAAATGCCAGGTGTGGCCGATTGAGCAACGGAGCTGGGAAAGGCCATTGGGATTTAAGTCTGTCACAGCGAAGACCATGGAAGGGTTACCATTACTCCATCGTTGAGCACAAAAAAAAAAAAAAAAAAAAAAAAAAAAAAAAAAAAAAAAAAAAAAAAAAAAAAAAAAAAAAAAAAAAAAAAAAAAAAAAAAAAAAAAAAAAAAACATGGTGTTTCTCGTTTGCCTTTGCCAGCTAGATGTCTGTTTCTGCCTTCGCTCCCTCCCTCCTCTCTTGGCATTCCCAATGGGCAGGGGTAGAGTGTGAGGAACGTAGGCCACCCTCCACAGTGCCAATACCTTCCTCTTCAGCCGCTTCTCCAGCTCTTTAAAGGTCCCCATGGTAGAACTTGCGAACAGCTCTAAGGTTGCTTGCACACCCACTTTCAGAGTTAAACTGTGACGTGCTTGGGTCCCACGAGGTCTGGCCAAGCCCCGGAACGAATCCGCTTCTCTCAATCCTGCAAGGCGGCCCCGCCCCTCAGCTTCACGTGATTGGTAGCGAGTCGCGCACAGCTGACGTCAGTAGTACGCGCCCCAGTGCAGCCTTCTACCCGGCGTGCGCGCCCAGGAGGCTTCTGTCTCATCCTCTCTTCAGACTCCTCATAACCTCTGGGCTTCCGACCAGAGGCAGCGCTCGGCCAACTTGCGACAATGTCGATGCTGGCGGAGCGTGAGTGTCGGCCGACCTGGGCAACCGAGTGATGGGTTGACGGGCACGGGCCACCAGGGTGACCGGGGCCCCGGGGTGTCTAAGTTCCGGGTGGGGACCGCAGTGACTGCCGGGCCCGCGCGGGACAGATGTCCCCGAGACTCTGTTCCTGGTACTAAAGGCTCGGGTCGCGCGTTCACGTGTGCGTTCGGAGACTCAGGACACCAAGTTTCGGACTGTCCCGTGCGCTGGCCCTCCTGGGAGGTCACCGGGGAGGATTCTTTCACTTCTCTGGGCTCAAGTGACCTGGGGTTCCGAAAAGACGGGTCCCGTAGCATCGCTTTAGGCTCTGAAATTAAACAGTCCAAGATGTGTTGGTCCCAGAGAAGAAAAGTAGGATTACAAGTTTCAGGCACTGTTTAGCCCGTGGCGGGAGTGCAGGCTGATGAACGGTTCTGAGCGAGACCGAGAGGGTATCAGCGGTTAGAGGCGACTTTGCCATCTTTGTCTTTGACACTTAGCATCACTCTGAAGTCCACTAATTCTCCTCCTCAGAGGCGACTTTCACTTGGAAATGATACGTGTAGCTACAGATTCTTGCCACCAGAAGGCAGTCGAGTGATGGTCGCTAAGAACTGGCTTTTGACTTTTCCTGGAAGTTGTGTAGGTATCAAGGAATGTAAAGAGATATTTTCATGGCACTTTAGAACAAAGCGTGTTTTAGTGAATCTTCTTCCCTATCTCTCACTACCCTACTGCCGCCTCTGATCCCCTACTGACACTCCTGGCCCCTCTGTAGTTTACCCCCACTCTCTTTTCATGTAGCATATGGCACATCCTGCAGGCAGCCCAGTAGTTGGACTGGAGAGTGTCCTTCCTAGGTAGGTCAATCGATGCCACCCTCTTCCAGGCAGTTCACCTGGTCTCTACTTCCATGAAATTGGGCTAGTTTCTGCCTTAGCCAAGGCTTACAAATCTTAAGCGAGGTGACTACATCAATAGTTGGGAGTGTCAGCAGTGGGACATAGGGAAGGACAACTGACCTGGCAGCCAGTTCCTTATGTAGCATGGCAATGCATCTTGTGTAAGTATGTAACAGGGATGCATTTCTGACGGGAAGGGAAGGAAACTTACAAGCCTTGGTCAGTGACCCCTGGCAGGCATTCTCCAGACATGGATCGGGCACAGACATTCAGAACACCAGCTAATACGGCTGGTTTTACTGTGTTCATTCACGAGATAGTGTTGTGCTGAGTATATACTAGTTCTTGTTTTTTTTTCTTAACTAAGTGGAACAAGTTTTTGGATTACCTTTTTTCCCCAAGGCATAACACTGCGAATTGGCTTGTGGTGTCTGTTTGTTTGTTTTCCTGCCTGCATGCTTGGGAACGGTTTCTTGTTTGCTGGGGTATGTATAGGTAAGGATCCCTGTTGGTTTTACCTACAACACAGTGAGCCCTTTGACTAGAGGTCATGTCATTTTCAGTTGGGTTATGCGGCTGTTGATGATAATGTGCTTGCATGCATGCAGTGGGCGAGCAGGAATGACATTCAACCTCCAGGTTCCTTACTTGGCCACAGGTGACTTTGGGGGTTCAGATTCTTGTTCTGTTTGCCTGGTGGGTTCTTTTTTCTGTTGTAGTTTTTCCTCAAAATTGTCACAGTGAAGCCGAATGTGGTGGCTCCTGCTTGTGCTTCCCCAGCATTTGTGGAGCTAAGACTAGAGAATTGCCACCAGAGCTAGGCTGTCTCAGACAAACAAACAATACAACTTGAGTTTTTGTTTTTTTTTTTTAAGATTTATTAAGATTTTTTTAAGATTTATTTATTATGTATACCGTGTTCTGCCTGCATGTATGCCAGCAGGCCAGAAGAGGGCACCAGATCTCATTGTAGACTGTTGTGAGCCACCATGTGGTGCCTAGGAATTTAACTTGGGACCCTGGAAGAGCAGCCAGGGCTCTTAACCTCTGAGCCATCTCTCCAGCCTGAACTTGAGTTCTTAATGGTCAGTTATTGATTTATATTCATTTCAGAGAAAAGTTTCCATGACACCCAAAGCAGTTCCCTTATTTCAGCTATTCTTTCTTTCCTTCCTTTTTTTTTTTCCTTTTTTTTCTTTTACTTTTTCTCCTTCTTTCTCATTTATATTTTCACACATTTCTAATCAGCTATAGGCAAAGTGCTTTATTTTCCTCTGCAGTGAAGCATAAGGACGAATAACTGAATATGACATGGAAGGGATAGAGAGTAACAGGACACATGAAAGATGAAAATAAATACCACAGTGCAACAGAATGTGAAGTCACGGATTATTCTGGAGGCTCAGTGGTATTTAATAAGAAGGGAGGTATCATATTATCTGTTAATCATGTTACACTATTAACTCCCTAAGGTCATAATGACTTGTGTATTGTGTATTAAGAATATAAATTGATCTGGGCATGGGAGGTAGAGGCAGGTGGGTCATGAGTTCAAAGTCATCCTTAGTTACATAGCAAATTTAAGGTTAGCCTGGGCACTGCATGAATCTCCATCCCACTCCAGCCCCAAATAAGTTTTGAAATCTATAGGACCTTGGTTTGTATAAAAGGTTTGGGTTTTACTTGGGGATTAGGCAGATATTGTTCTCCTAGCCTCAGGCTTTCTCATCTGAAAGGTAGAAAGGTAAGAAGATCTCCCTTCATTGAGGTAATGTGGAAAGAGTGTCTGCTGTATGTGTAGCATTTAGCCTATAACCTGAAGCTGTGAGCGTCGGAGTGACTGCACCTGCTGCTGTGGCTTCTGCAGCTGCCAGTGAGTATGAAGGCGGTGACAAGAGGGCCTTTGGTTGCTGCCAGTGACTGGAAGTGGAAGGCTAAAATAGTAGTCTGTCAGGTATTTAGTTTGCATTCTCTTGGAGGGAATGTTTTACTTTGAATTTTACAAAGTCAGTTTATATGCCAGGAATGTATAGTTACAGGGAAAGCAAGGGGTAGATTCTCTTAGCCCCTTGGACCCTGAACATATCCTGTTAGCACGCAAGCATGTGCTGATTTGCATGTGCTCTTCCAGGTAAAGACGGAGTGCTGATGAAATGCCTTTTCAATTGCAGGTCGGCGGAAGCAGAAATGGACTGTGGATCCCAGAAACACTGCGTGGAGTAACGATGATTCCAAGTTTGGCCAGAGGATGCTTGAGAAGATGGGGTGGTCTAAAGGAAAGGTATTGCATTGGAAGTCTAAAGTATCCATGCCATGCCAGAAGGCAGCGAATCAGAAGACAGCCTTCTTAGAGTCTGGGAGAACTTTGTGCTTTAGACAGTAATTGATTTTGGAGAACTAAATTGTGACCAGGTGGTAAAGTTAGACTGGAACTGAATGCCAGGTCTTCTGGTTACTGCTGTATTAGTAGCCTTCTTAGATATCTTTTAATTCATTACACATGGAATCATGCTTAGGTTTCAGTTTTGTGTTTCCAGGAATGGTACTTAATTTTCCTTCATAGTAGATACTTGCTTTCTCAAATATCCCACTTCCTCCTGACTGCAATGGAGCTTCGAATGTGAAACTGTGCATTCTGCTTCTGTCAGAGTTGGCAGATCCAGTGGGTGTGTGGTATCCTTAAACTGCCTCACCCTTAGCAGTGCTCCGCATGTTGGCTGCTTTGTTGAACTTTGCCGTGGTAGCATCACTTCCCTTTCTCTCACCTCGTGCATCACCTCAGCAACCTCTGCATCATGGCCAACTTCTTCCTCTAGTCTTCTGAGCTGAGGAGCCACTTTGCATACTCCACGCAGGCAATCTCAGTAATTACCGTGTATTGGATTATGCCTCCTGGCTGTGATGCTTGAGGGACCATCTCAAGATTATTTTTTATTATAAACCTCTTGTCCCCTCAAGTCTTGTCCTTCCCAGGTTTTCCTGATTTTTAAAAATGGTGCTAACTACCCAAGCATCCAAACAATCCCACCTCCCATTTCCCTTCTTTCCTCCTCTGTCCATTTCTCCATATAACAACCAGAAGGGTCTTGAAACTGAACTTTAGATCATGTTGCTCCCTTGCTGAAGATGTTTCCAAGGATTAAAATCTGCATCTCTGCTCCAACTTTCAAGGTCCTGTGATGTTCAGTCTCTGTTTTCTGTTCCTTTCCCATTCACCTAGCTGAAGCCTCCCTGGAGGGCTTTCTCATCTACAGTCCCTGCACTTGGCATACAACCTTCGGAGTGAGAGCTAAGTGAGACCAGGAACCTGGAATGCTCCTCCACCTTCTTAATTGATGTCGTGTTGTAGTGTTAAGTCACAGAATGCCATGTGCTCCACGTGCTTCCTAACGCTATGACTGTTTTATACAGTTCTTCCTGTTGTGATGACCCCAATCATAAGATTCTTTCATTGCTACTTCATAATTGTAATTTTGCTACTGTTATAAATAGCTGACCCCTGTGAAGGGCTGTTTGACCCATAGGTTGAGAACCATCGTTCTGGGTTGTCTCTTGAATAGATAGTAAAGAAAGAAAGAGACAATTTCTCTTTGTAGCTAATAGGGTTATATTTGATTTCTTTCTTTTTAATCTCCACAGGGTTTGGGGGCTCAGGAGCAAGGAGCCACAGAACATATTAAAGTTAAAGTTAAGAACAATAACCTGGGACTCGGAGCTACAAACAATAATGAAGTGAGTAGCTTCTGTGTGTTTTCTTTGCAGAGTTGACTTGTGTCAACATAAACATTGAAATTCGTGCAAGTAGATGGAATGGCTTTTATCGAGTATGGTACATGCT